TTAACTAAAGGCAACTTAAGACAATTTGGATGATAATTAGGTGGTGTCACTTGGCGACTTAGGTCGTATTAGGGCGACTTAAGGTGACTTAAGGCAGGTTCAAAATCTTATACAATAAGGGACATGTTTTCACAATGAAAGATATGAATTAACACTCCAATTATATTTGAGATTTGTCAATGAAAGAGTTGTCTTGATGCATGACAGGGAGAAACACTTTATATCACGTGGGGTGGTGCGTCAGCCAATCAGATCGCATCTACGATTGATACAAGAGATAATACAAGTGAAATCTATCATTATGACGTCATGATTGTTTTGACGAAATGKATCATGGGATTGATAAAAGTGTCAAAATGTCTTAAAAGAAGTTTCTTAACGAAATTGAGGTTATTCTTTGTTCAAAATCATTTCCATCAAATTTACATCATTTTGGACACTTACATCATATTTCCATCAAATTTACAACCTTTATGGCGCGCGATTTTTTCCATTTTTTCCAATTTTTTTCATTTTTTCCATTTTTTCCATTTTTTTTATATATGTCGGGATAGTTTGCACACTAGAACGTATCAAAATTCTTCCAGTCTAGGAATGCTATGCTAATTGATCAAAAAATAGTCTGAAAYACAAAAGCGTGGCATCACTTTGTTATTCCGTCAAGTGTCTTTGCCAACGTCTTTAKGGGACACAGAGTTTTTGCATTACAACAGGATATATCTGGTGAATGAAATAATATATTTCATGCTTTAGAGGTTAAGGCTGCACAAATAAGAACTCGAAATTCTAGTATTAACCTCGCCAAACTCTACAAAGTTATGCTAATTTATCAAAAAACAGCCTGAAAAACAAAAGCGTTCTATCACTTTGTCATTCCKTCAAGAGTGTCTATGCACCAACGTCATAAGGGGAATGTGGAATAAAAATTTTATTGGCCCGGTTTAGCACAGTATTTTTACATTTGGATCGACGGCAGTTAATTAACTAAGACATACATGAGGCGAGGCTATTTCGCAAGAATAATTACCCATGATACAGTTCTGATTGAAACTTTTATTTCGTTCTATAGACACGAAAAATATAATYAGTTATTTTTTCGATGGCGTTTACTCTGCTCTTTTGCTGGACTTTTCTCAGCACGGACAACCACTTGTGCAAGCATTTCATTGATTTGCATCATTTTCTTAATCTCGCTGGGTGATGGTGGTTTGGCATACGTCCCGTTATTAGCTGAAAAACCACTTCCTTTATCAAGTTCTGAAAATTGAAGGAAAAATTTAAATTCAGACATAACAAAATACTATCAAGATTCGGGTTTACTAAAGTCAGATTGACGACTTTCAAAAATGGTGCGATATGTCACGGTCGCCGATCAGGGCACTGGGGACGGAGCATTCAAACGAGGTCTCATAGGCCAGTTAACTTTGAATTGATAATGTTTTGCAAGAGCGTTTTGKTACAAATAACATATCAATATATCTTTAAAGCTTTTGGAAACWACATACATGCGATCTTCGTAGTGATTTCTAGATGTTAGGCCTTTGAGGTCTCGTTTCCATGATTTGTCACTAGTCCCCCAATGTTGGCGGTCGTGGACTACCGCCATTTTTGAAATTTGTGTATTAATTCAGTATAAATCCATAGGTTTTTTAAGAGTTAAACCAGGATTAGTACTATTCGACGAGCTTTTAACAACCTAGTCTCCTTCACAGCCTACCCTTTTGCCGGGCTTCTTGTCCCTGTGGCCCACAGGAAGCGCAACAAAATGGTAGGCTGCAAAGTCCCAGTCCTGTAATTACCTGCTGGTAGTTCATTACAGAGGTCTGTACGGCACCATGACACTCGACAGCTCGTTGTATCGCTCCTTATCCGGCGCTCATGGTTGCAAAGATCGATATCGTTGGTGATATCACAGTTGTAAAATAAAGTTGGAGTCGGGTCAGAGGAGTATTTCACAATCATTTTCATGCACATGAAACGTCTAGGAGAACCAGGAGAACTAGGGCATCTCACAGTATGAAAGGGTCGAACTGTTTCGTCGCCTTTACGCCAAATCGCGTTACACGTAAGGCTGAAGACCGATGACAGGCTTATAAAACAACAACATACAAACAACACGAGCTGTAAGAACAAAAAACATCATTTAGTATAAACCAAACCGAGTAGTAACTTAGCATGTTCAGAAGTCTATAACTCTTCAATTTGCTACACTTTACGTAGTATTTTGGGTATATCACACTTTAGTACATTTTGTTTCACGGGTTTATGGGTACAAATCTGGTTCACGAAAGCCGTCACGAATTTTTCCCTTT